CTGCACGGCGGCACCAGCTCCACCGCCACCGACCCCAGCCCGCTGCGGGGAAGGCAGAGATGTCAGCCAGCTGCCTGCCCCCCTCCAGCCCCCTGGCATGGGGGCTGTCCCCAGACAGCCAGGGGACCCCAGCGCTCTCTGTTCTGGGCTGGCAGTGCCTGCGAGCAGCAGAGCTCAGTGGGGTCGGGACTGGTGAGGGTTTGCGACACCTCGGCCCCACGCAGGGGGAGCCCCCAGCCCGCCCCAGCTCCCCGCACGGCGTCACTCACCAGGTGTGGTAGAGGTTGAAGACGAAGTTGGGCCCTGGGGAGTTGATAAGGAGAGGTGTCAGAGCCGGCAGCGCCACGAACACGCCTTCGCTTTGCTGTGACTGTGCAGTGGCGAGGGGATGGGCAGGACAGCCAGCCTCGCCGGGACATCACCCTGCAGCCCCCTCCTCCTGCACGCCCCCAGCGTGCCCCACAGCCGCCGGGCACCGGCACAGATCAGGTGTGCTCCCCACATGCCTTTCCCTTTGAGCCCTCCCTGCCCTGCCCCTACTCACGGCGCCAGCATTGGCCCCTCTGGTACCACCGGACAAAGGCGTAGCCAAAAAGCACCAGGATCAGCAAGGCCAGCCCGACGCCCAAGACCACTCCGAGCGCGTTGATGGGCTCTTGCCCTGTAAAGCAGAGGGAGAAAGGGCTCTGCAGACGAACGCCTGGGGGAGGCTGCGGGTTCTCATCATGTCCTGGTGGGGGCAGGACTGCTGTGGGGCCGGGGTATGTCCCTCCACCCTGTGCTGTCCCCATGGCACAGAGGGACTGAGCCTCGTGAGGCTGCTGAGCGCTGTGGCATGGAGATTTTTGCTGCCCCCAAAGCCTCGTGCCGGCAACTTGTGGTCTTAGTTGCCAGCGGTCCGCAGGCAAGCTGGCGGGTGGGATGGTGACCTGGGAAGGGATCCAGAGGGGAGCGTGGGTGACCCGCTGCCCTCAGCCTAAACAGGAAAGGAAGGGCTGTAAACAGGAGCCTACGTTCCCTGTAAGCAGGATCCCCTGCTATTCCCGCTCCTGGCCCCGCCGGCAGCTCTCCCGGACCCCAGGCCGCTTTCAGCCGTGCCCGGACCCATCACTCTGTGCGGGGCAGGGAGCTGCCTGCCCTGGCACTGCCCGGATCCCCACTCCTGGTCCCATGCACAGCCCTCTGGGGTGAAGCACCTTTCTCAGCCGCACACCTCCCACAGCCAGGGTGTCCCGCACCTCTGGTCCATTTTGCCGGCCATGCCCTGGCAGCACCCGGCCCCGCGGAGAAGAGCCAGAGGAGCAGCAAGGTGCCACTGGTGCTGGCTGTCCCCGTGCTCCCTCCGGCAGCCGCGCAGTGCCATACCCCGGGCTGTACCCGCTGATCTCCCTGTCCAGCCGCGCAGGCCCATTTC